CGGACACAGACGGATCTACAGACAGACGGACACAGACGGATCTACAGACAGACAGACGGACACAGACGGATCTACAGACAGACAGACACAGACTGATCTACAGACAGACAGACACAGACGGATCTACAGACAGACGGACACAGACGGATCTACAGACAGACGGACACAGACGGATCTACAGACAGACAGACGGACACAGACGGATCTACAGACAGACAGACGGACACAGACGGATCTACAGACAGACAGACGGACACAGACGGATCTACAGACAGACAGACAGACGGACACAGACTGATCTACAGACAGACAGACACAGACTGATCTACAGACAGACAGACACAGACGGATCTACAGACAGACAGACACAGACGGACACAGACTGATCTACAGACAGACAGACACAGACTGATCTACAGACGGACACAGACGGATCTACAGACAGACAGACACAGACTGATCTACAGACAGACAGACAGACAGACAGACACAGACTGATCTACAGACAGACTGACACAGACGGATCTACAGACAGACGGACACAGACGGATCTACAGACAGACGGACACAGACGATCTACAGACAGACGGACACAGACGGATCTACAGACAGACGGACACAGACGGATCTACAGACAGACAGACAGACAGACACAGACGGATCTACAGACAGATGGACACAGACGGATCTACAGACAGACAGACAGACAGACAGACACAGACGGATCTACAGACAGACAGACAGACTGACACAGATGGATCTACAGACGGACAGACACAGACGGATCTACAGACAGACAGACACAGACGGATCTACAGACAGACGGATCTACAGACAGACAGACAGACAGACGGACACAGACGGGTCTACAGACAGACAGACAGACGGACACAGACGGATCTACAGACAGACCTTTGCAGCTTTCAGCAGGATCTCTCTCTCCTGCTCGTCTTTCCTCTGTTTCTCCATCCTCTCCAACTGTTCGAAGAAACGCAGCTGAGAGCGAACATCTGACGTCTGCTCCTGATGTTCTTCATCCTGAGGAGGAGGAGCAGGAGGAGAGAGGGGGAGGAGAGAGGAGGAGGAGGAGGAGAGAGGAGGAGAGGAGGAGAGAGGGGGAGGAGGAGCAGGAGAGAGGAGGAGGAGAGAGGAGGAGGAGCAGGAGAGGAGGAGAGAGTGATGAGATCAGAGAGGGAAGATTCAGAAGAAGAAATCAGGAGAGGTGAAGAAAACATCTTCATCTCCATCATCGGAGTAAAAACTGACATTTCTGAGGCTGCAGCCAATCAGTGAAGAGGAAATGACCGAGGTCACAGAGTCAGCTGCTCTGTGTGTGTGTGTGTGTGTGCGTTCATGTGTGTGTGTACGTGCGTTCTCACCTTGCCCCCGTCTGCGCGGTGCTGAGCGACGGCTGAAACCTTCTCCAGCAGCGAGCGCAGTCTGGACTGAGTGGCGTGAGAGATCAGGTTGACCACGTCCAGAGGAACCTCGTTCACGCCCAGCTTCTTAGCTGAGGGGGGGGGGGCAGGTTATTTGATTGGTTTACTGAGTCATGTGACCTTTAGAAGTGTAAGATGTCCTCAGATGACTTTGGTTGAGACTTGATCTGATAGGGTCATTGATTGATTGATTGATTGATTGATGTGACTGGTCTCTCTAAGCCCCTCCCACAGTGTCAGGTGAGCGTACCTGTGTCCAGGATGCGGCGGTGCAGCAGACCGGTAGGCAGAAAGGACTCGTCCTTACAGGACCGGATCTTTGTCCCCACCAGCTCCGAGCTGGTTGCTAGGATACGGGCGTTCTCCTCATTCAGGTTGACCCCGGCCATGGACGCCACATCGTTGATGTCATCATCGTCTCTGAAGGTCAAATACACGTGTGAGCGTTACAGTGTTCAAACGCCTCAGCACACACACACACACACACGCGCGCGCACGCACGCACGCACACACCTCTGATGTTAACTAATCAGTGTTCAGGTGCTGCCCCCTGCTGGCTGACCGCCCCCCTCTCAGGTATCTAAACATGTTTGTTTTGTGTTGCCGTGTCCTCAGACCGTGTCCACAGATCTTGTCCTCAGACCGTGTCCTCAGATCTTGTCCTCAGATTGTGTCCTCAGACCGTGTCCTCAGATCTTGTCCACAGATCTTGTCCACAGATCGTGTCCACAGATCGTGTCCTCGGCGTTTTTCCGCTGACGTTTATTCGCGGTTTGAAGATCTTGAACTCTCTTGGACTCTCAGACGTGTCCACAGTCAGCTGGTTTGTTCAGAATCATGGGTTCTGTTTACGTGGATATCTGAGTTCAGACCCTCTCTCTGTTATTCGGTTAGTATCAGACGTATCTTCGATCTTCAGATCTTCAGACCCTCTTATATCTTCAGAGTTTGTTGAATTGTGTTTTTTTTATTCTCTAGAGTTTTAAAAGTTAAACTCTGATAAACTCTCAGTCTGCTTCAGTCAAACTTAGATCTACGTCTCCCAGAGCGCTGTAGTTCATAAAACACTCATTTGTAATGAAGGTTGATCTCGTACTGAAGGAGAGGTTCGAGCTCACCTGAATGTCCCGCCCCCTGGATCACTCAGCTTCTTCTGATTGGCCTGAGCAGCCAGGTTAACAGGACTCTTCCCGATGACGGTTGCAGGTCCTCTAACCAGAGTTCCTGCAGAGGACAGAAGGTTCAGGTGTTTCTGACTATTTCTGCTGATCATGGACTGGAACTCGACCATGAGAGGCGTGGCCTCTGCTGGACTCACCTTGAGGTCTTATCGACTGGCTGAAGACGACAGGTGAGCGCGTCTGAACGGTCTGAACACCTGCTCTGTTCACCGCCTGCAGACGCACAAACGTGACATTCAGGTTCACATTAACACACATCTGTCTGTTTCCTGAGTCAGGGTCCTACCAGAGCGTTGGAGAGGGGCGGGTTCAGTCGGACCGTGCTGCTCGCAGGGCTGATGGGCAGTCGTGGTCGGATGGCGGTGGTTGTGACAGAGCCGGGGGCAGCGAGGGGCGGCGTGGAGGTGCTTGGGGTGACCAGAGACTGCTGACTGTTGAGCAGAGACTGACGGAGAGCGGGGAGACTTTTCTGTGGAGGAGGAACGAACGTCAGACGGGCGGACGAGGGCGGAGATACACCACTGATCAGGAATACTACAGTTAAATACTCTGGTATACTTTTTAATACTACAGTTAAATACTCTGGTATACAACCAGAGTAATACTACAATAAAATACTCTGGTATACTTTTTAATACTACAGTTAAATACTCTGAGTAATACTACAGTTAAATACTGTTATACACTCAGAGTAATACTACAGTAACATACTCTGGTATACAGTCAGAGTAATACTACAGTAAAATACTCTGGTATACTTTTTAATACTACAGTAAAATACTCTTATATACTTTTTAATACTACAGTTAAATACTGTTATACAACCAGAGTAATATTACAGTAAAATACTGTTATACACTCAGAGTAATACTACAGTAAAATACTGGTATATACTTTTTAATACTACAGTAAAATACTCTTATATACTTTTTAATACTACAGTAAAATACTCTGGTATACAACCAGAGTAATACTACAGTAAAATACTCTTATATACTTTGTAATATTACAGTAAAATCCCAGTAACTTTCTTACAGAAGTACCAACACTTCCATTAGAGTAGTACTGTAGGTAGAAGTACTCATTGTTGTAGTATTGAGAGTACCTTTAGGAAGGGGATGAGGTAGGGCTGTGGAGAAGACTTGAGCTCAGCCTGCAGTCGAGTCGTGAACTCTTCAGGTTCGATCTTCGCATCCTGAACAGACACAGACAGCCCAGTTAGACCCCAGTTAGACCCAGTTAGACTCCAGTTAAACTCTAGTTACACTCTCTTTAGACCCCAGTTAAACTCCAGTTAAACTCCAGTTAAACTCCAGTTAGACCCCAGTTAGGCCCAGTTAAACTCCAGTTAGACCCAGTTAAACTCAAGTTAAACTCCAGTTAGAGTCCAGTTAGACTCCAGTTAGACTCTCTTTAGACCCCAGTTAAACTCCAGTTAAACTCCAGTTAAACTCCAGTTACAGCCCAGTTAAACTCCAGTTAAACTCCAGTTGGACCCCAGTTAAACTCCAGTTAGACCCCAGTTAAACTCCAGTTACACTCCAGTTAAACTCCAGTTACACTCCAGTTAAACTCTCTTTAGACCCCAGTTAGACCCCAGTTAAACTCCAGTTAGACCCCAGTTAGACCCCAGTTAAACTCCAGTTAAACTCCAGTTAAACTCCAGTTAGACCCCAGTTAGACCCCAGTTACAGCCCAGTTATAATCAGCATCATCTAAGTCTCTTCATTTGAAGAGTTCTGGTCCCAGTCTGAGTCCAGTTAGACCAGTTTGGACTTTAAGACCAGATCCTATTGGACAGTGTAAACCCAGTAACCCCCTCACAGGTCAGTCTGAACCCAGTCGAGACCCTGGATTGATGACGTGGCTCACCAGCAGGTCCTGGACCAGGGCCTTCACATTCTTGGAGGTTTCTGGAGACGGGGAGTTGTGGGACGCCAGCTTGATGAGCGTGGCGAGGAAGTTCTTGCATTTTTTCACGTTTTCTTGCATTTCCTGTGGGAGTAGAACGCAGCAGGATGAGTCGGTGGCGTTCATGTTTCATGTTAGCTGATGATGACGGGAAATTCAACTTTGACCCTACCTGTGACACCACCGTGACTCTGTTAGCGGGCGTGGTGGCGGCAGCTGGCGTCGGGCTGGTCAGGGGAGTGGTGGGGACACCGGCGGGTTTCGCCACAGGCGTCCCTCCTGCTGTTATCACGGTCTGGGTCTTCTGAGTAGGGGTCATACTCACAGACACTGCTGCTGCACCCGGAGCCACCGTGATGGCCTTCTGGGAAACGCCAAACAGCGTCAAGGAGAGAAACCGCCAAACGTCAAACACAGAAACATGAAACAATGAGGTCATCATTACGATGGTTCGGGTTCACAGGACCACCGGGTCTCTGCGGTCCGGACCAGCTTCTGTTTCAGGTCTGTCAGAGACTCTGGACCTTTACTCCACAGGCTGAATCGGGTTTTCAGGATGTTCGACTTTTTTGACTAAATTTTGACGCCTAAAAATTTTACTCATTGGTGCCACTGGGCCAATCAGCATGCAGCACGCTCACGCCCAATCAAAGGAGGCTTTAACAGTGAGTGGACTTCATCATCGACGGCCAATAATATCATTCAAAGAAGCAGAGAGGCGGAGTCTGTACGAAGGAAGGACAGAGGAGGTGAAGGACTCAGTGAGAGACCGCGTGAGCTAACACAGGGATCGACCGTAACTAAGAACTTTAGGGGATCAATGAAAACTGATCAATAATGTTTGTCTTATTGATCGACCTTAGTACTATTATTAGAAATCAATTTTAGGTCTTTTGGTCACATGACAGTGAAGCTATTGAAGGAAAACAGCCTTTTCTGAGAACATCAGCCGGTAATTTATTGACGGTCCCTTATTCAACACCGACGTTGACAGTGAGGGTGTCGAGTAGATTTAACCGCGCTGCTGTTGTTATTCCCGGTTATGGAGAGAGAGAAGACACCGGTATCTCCAATCTTATTTTAGCTTTGAATGTAACTTTTAATCTGTTAAATGTCTTTTACGCTGTTTTTACTTTTTAAATTGTGTTGAATGTTTTGCCTGCTTGTTTCATGTAAAGCACCTTGAATTGCCCTGCTGCTGAAATGTGCTATACAAATAAACTTGACTTGACTTGACTTGACTCAGAGAATGTCCGTCAGATATCCAACCTAAAACTAACTTCACCACCGTATTTACAGGAAAATATATCCAACCTAAAACTAACTTCACCGCCGTATTTACAGGAAAATATATCCAACCTGAAACTAACTTCACCGCCGTGTTTACAGGAAAATATATCCAACCTGAAACTAACTTCACCGCCGTATTTACAGGAAAATATATCCAACCTAAAACTAACTTCACCGCCGTATTTACAGGAAAATATATCCAACCTAAAACTAACTTCACCGCCGTATTTTCAGGAAAATATATCCAACCTGAAACTAACTTCACCGCCGTATTTACAGGAAAATATATCCAACCTGAAACTAACTTCACCGCCGTATTTACAGGAAAATATATCCAACCTGAAACTAACTTCACCGCCGTATTTACAGGAAAATATATCCAACCTGAAACTAACTTCACCGCCGTATTTACAGGAAAATATATCCAACCTAAAACTAACTTCACCGCCGTATTTACAGGAAAATATATCCAACCTGAAACTAACTTCACCGCCGTGTTTACAGGAAAATATATCCAACCTGAAACTAACTTCACCGCCGTATTTACAGGAAAATATATCCAACCTAAAACTAACTTCACCGCCGTATTTACAGGAAAATATATCCAACCTAAAACTAACTTCACCGCCGTATTTACAGGAAAATATATCCAACCTGAAACTAACTTCACCGCCGTATTTACAGGAAAATATATCCAACCTGAAACTAACTTCACCGCCGTATTTACAGGAAAATATATCCAACCTAAAACTAACTTCACCGCCGTATTTACAGGAAAATATATCCAACCTGAAACTAACTTCACCGCCGTATTTACAGGAAAATAAACATTTGTTGATTTTTTTTATTCGCACATGTAAATACCCTAAATACGTTTGACAATTCGCACACATCTATTTTTAGTCGTAAATGAGAGTGAAATGGTCGCACTGTCGAACCCTGAAACAGTTCAACAGTTTCAGAATAAAGTTCCTGAGTGGATTTCACTCAGTTTCAGTTTCAGACTTTTAAAGACTTTTTTAAGATCATAATGAAAAGAATTTAAGAACCATTTTACATCCATACTTGAAAAAAAGTACAAAGAACATTTCCCATGACTGTGAATAAATCTCTATTTGTGAGTGACATCAATACATTTTTAAGACCTTTCAAAATTGTGTTTAAGAGATTTTATGAGGTTTTAAGAGACTTTTAGACATTTGAAGGCCTTAAATTGAAATGATCGGATTTAAGATGTTCTCAGACTTTTTCCGACTCAGCAGAAACCCTGTAAACGTCCACGTCTTTGTGGTCTGAGCTCATGTTGAAGTTCTGATTCTCTGAACATCACGTCACCTTCAGACCCTGAGGAACCGTTTACTCTGAGTTCATTTGGACCAGGATGGACCGCTCCTCTCCATCAGGAGAATCAGCTGATCAGACACACACACACACACACACACACACCTGTACTGTGGAGGTGGAGGGAGCCTGAACCATTCTGGTCTGAGTGGGGGTGGCCAGGCGGACAGTCTGAGGAGCCTGAAGAGACCGGGGAGGGGGGGTGAGGTTAGACCAGAACCAAGAGGAAGACACACAAACAAGAAGGACGTAAACGGTTATTTTAGCTAAGATAAAACAGCCTGGGTTCCATGGCGACGGTCTGTTATTCTTTAACAGCACACTGTTGCTGGAAAGAACCGACTGTTGCCATGGATACGGCCCTGATAACAGACTCTAGAGGACTAACTGCAGTCATGTTTCACTGTTGATATTGTGGTAAAAATCGTCACACAGGATTCAGTTTGAGGTTCACAGGTGAGACCTGATCAGCTGATCCACCAAACAACTACGGATGAACTTCCTGAAAACTTCAAAATAAAAGCCTGCTCTGTTTACATGATGCTTTTATTCTGAAGGTGAGTCCAGGAAACTTTTTTAGTTTGAAAAATGGACCCACATGTGAACCCGTCCGTCAGGCTTTCTGGTAAGAGGTTCTGGACTCTGAGGAAGCTCATTAACAACATGAGGGACAGGAGGACTTCCTTCAGCCCCACAAAGACCCCCCTGGGATCACACTCACCGTGGACGCCGTAGACACTCGGATGGTGGCGCTGGCGGTGGGCGTGGCCGGTCTCTGGGTCATGTTGGCGACCGTCTGGCCCTGCTGTGTCTTCGCCTGAGCCTGAGCCAGAACCTGCTGAGGAACCATCACCAGCTGACCCGTCTCAGTACGGACCAGAACCACACCTGGGGGAGGAGACAAGGATCAGAACAAACACACACACCTGAGAGTCCAACGAGGTCCCAGTTTAACACAAATATGAGAACTCAGTGTGAGTCCAACAAGGGCCCGGTTTAACACAAATATGAGAACTCAGTGTGAGTCCAACAAGGGCCCGGTTTGACACAAATATGAGAACACAGTGTGAGTCCAACATGGACCTGGTTTGATACAAATATGAGAACACAGAGGCCGTTTTCGACTCCTCCTCCTATCCTCGCAGGTCGTACTGATTGGCCTAAAATTCCGTCTCCAGTCTGCAGTCGGTGAACAAACGTGAAATTTGCAGTTTGTCAAAAACACCCGGATGACGTGCTGATTCAGGAAAATTTCACAGTATCGGACCAGTCTGCTTCGCTTCGTTACCCACAGTGCAAAGCACCTGGGCAGACGGCGGGATAACGGAGAGCGGCGAAACTTTTGAGCGAAGCGTTCATTTTCTAAGAGGACAGCTATCAGATTTGTCCTCCTAACAGCCTGTCTTCTTCTTCTCCTTTATTCTGTACGGTACGCCTGATGTTGACCACACACAGCGCACGCCATCAGCCATGTTTCCATCACACAGCTGGACAGTCAGCTGACATTAGAGGGGTCTAAAGCTTTAACGCAGAAAGGCGAGTAAACAGGAGACAGGAGTTTGGATTCGAGGGTTTTTACTGGAGTAATCAAAGGGACAAATACGACCACGCCACGCAGACGCCATCAGGTAACACGGTTAGAGAGGACTGAAACGAGGACGACATCACTGACCACAGAACTCTGCTGGATTTACGGCGCCGTGATGAGAATCAAACGACGACGGATCATCGACGAGTCGCTGCAGAGACGGAACACGTTCTGATGGTTTTGGACTAAATATGAAGTATGTACTGAGTACTACTATAGAACACAGTACTCAGTATGAAGTATGTACTGAGTACTACTATAGAACACAGTACTCAGTATGAAGTATGTACTGAGTACTACTATAGAACACAGTACTCAGTATGAAGTATGTACTGAGTACTACTATAGAACACAGTACTCAGTATGAAGTATGTACTGAGTACTACTATAGAACACAGTACTCAGTATGAAGTATGTACTGAGTACTACTATAGAACACAGTACTCAGTATGAAGTATGTACTGAGTACTACTATAGAACACAGTACTCAGTATGAAGTATGTACTGAGTACTACTATAGAACACAGTACTCAGTATGAAGTATGTACTGAGTACTACTATAGAACACAGTATGAAGTATGAAGTGTGTACTGAGTACTACTATAGAACACAGTATGAAGTATGAAGTGTGTACTGAGTACTACTATAGAACACAGTACTCAGTACTCAGTATGAAGTATGTACTGAGTACTGTGTTTTAGGTGAATCACTTCGTTCTGCTCGTAAAGTTTGAGAATTCGGAAACGTCCCTCAGTCTCCTCAGACGGACGACAGTCAGACGTTGGCGCCCAGAGAGACGCCGCGACGTGCTCAGTCACGAGTCAGCGCCTCAGAGAAAAACATTACAAAGCTGTGACATCACTTCCTGTCGCTCTTAGGTTGAGCTCTACAGGAAGTGATGTCACAGCTCCCTCTCAGGTGTGACTGTTAAAGCTGACCAGGTCTGGGCTGGATGATCAATCGATCATTTCCCTTAATATCAATATAGAACATGATCAATATGACTATACGAACAGCCAATGAAAAGGGGAGTTTCTCCGGGTCTGAACCAATCATGTTCTGAATTAGAACCAAGTATCAAAGTATCACAGCAGCTCCACCCAACCATAGCACTTTAACAGGTGAAGCCGACAGCACTGTTGGTGAGAAACAAAGAAAATGAGTGCTACCCCCGACAGAAATGACCATGAAGGCTCAACAGATGACCACATCAATGTCAACCACAACACTGGCGTTAGGAAAACGGGCGACCGTTAGTCCGGAGTCTTTAACGTAACGCCTCACAGGAAGAGACCTTTAAAAAAGTCATGTGACCAATAAACACGTTACATCTTTAAATATCCTGATACTTATCAATATAATTATCAATATATTTATCAATATATTTATCAATATACTTATCCATATATTTATCAATATCGACTGATAAGATAAAAAAATATCCTGATAAACTTTTTCTCGCCCGGCCTGGTCTGAGGTGGACTCAGGTCTGAGGTGGACTCGGGTCTGAGGTGGACTCCCAGGTGGACTCGGGTCTTACCTGGCGGCATGGTGAACCCGGGGGGGAGCTGGATGGTGGTCTGCTGCTGAGGCCGGACCGCCAGCGTGGGCTGAGGGGCCGCCGCTCTGGTGGGCGCCGCCGCCACCAGCCCGGGTCTCTGCTGCTGGATGGAGGTGGCCACGACGGGGGCGCCCGGCGGTCTGACCAGCGCCACGGTGGGCTGAGGAACCCCGTTCACGGCGGGCTTCACCGCCCCTGCAGCCGGACTGGTCCCGGTCTGGGTCTGACTGATGGGGGACTGGACTGCAGCCGGGGGAGGGGGGGTGCTGGTCAGGATGACGGACCCCGCAGAGACCGGCTGGCTGGGCAGCAGCATCTTGGTGTGGATCAGAGGGGGGGTGCTGTGGTTCAGGACCTGAGAGGAGGGGGCTGAGGGGGCGCCCTGGACCACCAGACCGGGTCCTTTAGGGTCCACTCCGTTCTGGGCCACCGGGCTGGGGTGTCTCTGCAGGGCTGAGGTCTGGGGTCCGGTGAATCCGGGCTGGGGGGCCATGGTGGCGATGATGGTGGACCCCCCGGGACTCACGGTGCTGATAACAGACCCGGTCCCGGTCTGTGGGGGGGCAGCGGGCGAGTTTATCAACTTCCCGGTTCCGGGGGTTCCGTTCAAACTTTGAGACCCGGGGGAGGAGGTCCGGTTCGGCTCCCCCGCGGGGCTGGGAGCCGCGCTCGGACCCAGGACCGCAGCCCGGGGGAAGCCTGCAGCCCCGGACTGGGTGCTCAAAGTTCCGGGTCCCGGTGCTGCGGGGGGGACGGTGGGAGAAGGTCCGACTGAGGAGAGAGGAGCGGGTCCGGCGGGGATCGGGGCCCCGGGGGCCCCAGAGGAGGTAGAGGAGGTGAGGGTCTTCCCGGAGAGGGTCTCCGGAGCTCCGGGGTCCTGGTTTAACCCCGGTTTTGGATGCCCTTGTTGCGGCTGATCCAGAGACCCCACTGGATCCCGGACTTTCCCTGAGAACTGAGAGACCGGGGGGGGAGCTGGGTCCCGTTTCCCGTCGGAATAAGAGGCCCCGGGAGTCTTTGGGTCCCCCAGTTGGGACTCCAGGGAGCCCACCAGGTCGCTGACGGCTTTCTCGTCCACCTCCGTGAAGAGCATGTCCTCCAGTGGGTCGGAGGCTCCCGCCATCTTTGATGCTGGACCGTTGTGCAAATCGTATTTTAGAATGTACGCATGCGCGGAGGATCCGTGTTGTTTTCGAGCATAGAACTAGAACAGATAGAGCTGACTTCTTCTTCTTCTTTAATGGAGGTTACTGGCGGTTAGAAAACCAACTTGGAGGTGTATTACCGCCCCCTGCTGGACCGGAGTTCTGGACAGACTAAATAAATAAATCAGATCCTCTCCATTAACCCTGTACTTTTTCAGATATTCCATCAAACTCTGGAGTAGATCTTCTGACTCTGGTTCCTCATATTCAGCTCCATCCTGGTCCTTCTTCTTCTGCTCCTGTCAGTGTCCTTCTGTCCTCCTCTTATCCTCCACAGTCACACTCACCATCAGACTGTTTTCCTCTCTTATATCGTCGATTGTTCTCAGTATGTGGAGCTGACTGACGTTGTAGCTGTAAGAACCTTTAAATCAGATTCATGTTTTTGTAAATCTGCTCCACAGAGAGGACTTCTTCATTCTTTGTGTTTTTAGTCGTTATGATTGTGTCATGCATTCACAGTAGGGGAGACCGGGTTAGGATGATCCATGTTTCCGGATCAGTCCATCAAGTCAGTCCTAGTTTAGTCTCTAACTCGTGTCTCTGCAGATATTTCAGGATGTTGTTCATCCCTGTAAACCAACAGACTGAGTGTAAACAGAACTGTCATCTTCAGAAGAGAGCAGGACAAAAACAGGGTCTCCTACGGTCAACTTACCCCGGGTTTGTTTGGGCCAAGTTGAAAAATTCAGTGTTTTGTATCAGGACTGATCTTGATGAAGAGATCTGAGAAAAAAAAGTGAAACAAAAATCTCTGAAACGTTTTTACAGCAGCTAAAGTTAGAGGAGAAAAACAGCCAGAAGAGGGCGACAGGGAGTCAAAAGAACATCCACAGATCTGTATTTATGAAACAGAAACTCTGATCCTCTCCTCAGACTCCTTTACTCTCTCTGCTCCCTCTGAACTACGATGAGGACTTTATTAGTCCTCCAGGATTAAACGGTGGACTTTGAGGTTGATGACCTCCTGTTGGAGCTCAGAGATACAACGATTGATGATAAAACTAATTTCAAATGATATTTATTTCTAATCAAACTGACGACTAAAGACTAAACTCACTTTACAGAGAAGAAAAATGTTGTTTTGTAAATAAATGTCTGACCCCCGAACGACCCTTCACAGACTCTAAAACTGTGTTAAAGTAAAACCATTTCAAACTTGATTCACAGTAAAGAAGAAAAAGAGCGTTTACATAAAGGTCAACAATAATGACCAGAATAATGAGTGAAGAACCAGAACCAGAACCAGAACCAGAACCAGTGTACTTTATTCATTCTATAAGGCTGAATTTGGTAAAGTTCAGGTTGTTGTTGTTGTTGTTATCGTTGTTGTTGCTATTATTGTTATTGTTTTTGTTATTTATGTTATTGTTGTTTTTGTTTGTTGTTGTTGTTTTTGTTGTTTTTGTTTGTTGTTGTTGTTTTTGTTTGTTGTTGTTGTTTTTGTTGTTTTTGTTTGTTGTTGTTGTTCTTGACAGTCTAATTTCTCTCCATCGAACCTCCTCAGATCTAGAGCCCGGATACTGTTCGCTCATCTAGTTGACACAGCTCTAGATGTGTTGGCTGCTCGTACTCTCGCGAGAACGTGAGTTCCCGTTAGCCCCCGCGCTCACAGCCCTCTGATGGAGGTGGAGGTAGCAGCCATGTTGTTGTAGCTCAGAGCAGAGCGGGTTCGAGGAGCAGCTCAGACCGGATCACTTTAGACCCACTTCAAACAGACCCGATTCGGTTCGGAGGGACCGTCCACTCAGCCCCCAGTAGTCCGGACTCAGGGACCCAGACGGAACCATGAGCGGCGGCGGGACTCCGTACCTGGGCAGTAAGATCAGCCTGATCTCGAAGGCCGAGATCCGGTACGAGGGGATCCTGTACACCATCGACACCGAGAACTCCACCGTGGCTCTGGCTAAAGGTACCGAGCGAACCGGGCCGGACCGGACCGGGACACTTTATCTTTGTACGGCGGCTCTGCGGCTGCGCAGTCTGTCCCTCTAAAGTCCGGGTTTAAAGGTTCTCTAAAGCCGTGCGGGTTTCTGACCCGGTACTGAGAGCGGGTCTGACCCAGAACTTCTGCCAGGACTCATCAGAACCTTCAGCAGGAGGTTCTGTACTCTTTACAACAGAGGGACTCAGGCACCGGGTCCAAAACCACTTAGGACGGGTTCCTGAGTTTCTGTCGGCCCAGATTAAAAAGTTAAAGGTTCGGATCATGAGTCAGCAGAGGCGCGTCCACAGGGGGGCGGGAGGGGGACCCCGGCCCCGCTGATTGGTCTAACCATTACTGCCCCAAAATACTCAACTCTGATTGGCTCTTCACAGAGTGAGAGGCGGGGCTTATGTCAGAAACAATCACTGAAGCTGTTTTCTGATTGGCTGAGCTCAGTTTGATTGACAGGTGTTTGAAAACTTCATAAACAGTCTGACAGAGTTTAGTTTAGGTCCAAATACGACCTTAAAAACTTTAAACTAAATTCTCTCAGCTGTTTTTATAGTTTTAGACCTTCTTAATGACAAACTCAAAGTTTAACAAAGTTTGACCACGAGAAAGGCGCCATTTTCAAGATGGCGTCCATGATGGTAGGAAGACCCCCAGGTAAACAGGGTAAATTTTTAACAAACAGATATCACCATGAAACTTCCAGAGTTTATAACTTTAAGACAAATATTAATGATGTTACAAGTTTAGTTAAATGAGGTCAAAAATCTAATTAAATCTGAACTAATTAACAGAAAACTGAACGATGAATAAAAGACCCTTTAAAGTTCATGTTTTATTTTGTTGACAGACCAGAGTGGTCCGAGATCACGATGATCCTTTCAAAATAAAGTTCCTTATTTAAGACACAGTATTGGATCAGTTCTCAGAGTTCCCCTAAAGTTCTCCTGACTGAACTAAGTTAGGGTCCACACCTCGAACAAGTGTTGGTTCTGGTTCTGACCTGTACTGAGTGTTGGTGTTGGTTCTGGTTCTGTCTTGGTTCTGACCGTCATCTGTCTCCTCCCTCAGTCCGCTCCTTCGGCACCGAGGACCGGCCCACTGACCGACCCATCCCCCCCCGAGATGACACCTTTGAGTACATCATCTTCAGAGGAAGTGACATCAAGGACCTGACGGTGTGCGAGCCGCCAAAACCCACCTGCTCTCTGCCTCAGGACCCCGCCATCGTCCAGGTAACCACCTGATCCAGGTGAGACACGTCACCGCTGTTCAAAGAGACTGAATCACACTGATACTACTCCTCTTTCTCCTCTCTCCTCCTCCTCTCTCCTCCTCCTTCTTTCCCTCTCTCCTCTCTCCTCCTCCTTCTTTCCCTCTCTCCTCTCTCTCTCCTCCTCCTCTTTCTCCTTTCTCCTCCTCCTCTCTCCTCCTCCTTCTCTCCCTCTCTCCTTTCTCCTCTTCCCTCTCTCCTCCTCCTTCTCTCCCTCTCTCCTCCTCCTCCTCTCTCCTCCTCCTTCTCTCCCTCTCTCCTTTCTCCTCTTCTCTCTCTCCTCCTCCTCCTCTCTCCTCCTCCTCTCTCCCTCTCTCCTTTCTCCTCCTCTCTCCCTCTCTCCTTTCTCCTCCTCCTTCTCTCCCTCTCTCCTCTCCCTCTCTCCTCCTCCTCCTTCTCTCCCTCTCTCCTTTTTCCTCCTCCTTCTCTCCCTCTCTCCTCCTTCTCTCCCTCTCTCCTCCTCCTCCTCCTCCTCTCCCTCTCTCCTCCTCTCTCCTCCTCCTCTCTCCTCCTCCTTCTCTCCCTCTCTTCCTCCTCCTCCTCTCTCCTCCTCCTTCTCTCTCCTCCTCCTCTCTCCTCCTCCCTCTCTCCCTCTCTCCCTCTCTCCTCCTCCTCTCTCTCTCCTCCTTCTCTCACTCTCTCCTCTCTCCTCCTCCTTCTCTCCCTCTCTCTCTCTCCCTCTCTCTCCTCCTCCTCCTCCTCTCCCTCTCTCCTCCTCTCTTCCTCCTTCTCTCTCCCTCTCTCCCCCTCTCTCCTCCTCCTCCTCTCTCTCCTCCTCCTCCTCAGTCGTCCATGAGCTCCACCTCCTCGTCTTCTGCCGGGTCGGTTCCGACTCCGTTCCAGTCTGCTGGATCCTACGGTCTCTTTAACCGGGCTCCAGTTCCCGCCTATAACCAGTTCAGCGCCAGTCCCCTGGTGTCCCCCCAGTTTGGACCGGTCGGTGTCGGTAAGTCCACCTGTCTGTGGTTCTGGTTCTGTGGGTCTGGTTCTGTGGGTCTGTTAGTTTCATGAATCCAAAGGTTCTGGGTCTCTCTGTGGCTCCTGGACCACGTCAGTCATGCCAGAGAAACTGAGGGGGGGGGGTGAGTCATGGCGCCGACGTGACCTCAGACCGTGGAGGCCGCCGCCTCTCCTTCTCCACATGAGTCCGGTCAGGTTACCATGGTTACGTGGTGTGTAGCTGTAGGTCTTTACCATTGAGTCCAGCGGGTCAGGGTTTCAGAACCCCCCAGAACAGCAACAACACTCGGGTCCTCTTCGGTCGGTCCGGCCCCCTCAGAGCCTGAAGGTCCAGGTGGTGGTCCCAGGTGCTGGTTCTGGACCTTCAGTGTTGATTCAGGTTCTATGAGCTCACATGAAAATCAGAAATCCAGATCCAGAACCACGTGAGTGTCTCAGTCTCCTGCTCCTCAGACGACCATATTTGGACTGTTTCCTGTCTCCTGAGGTCACTGGTCTTCAGCGGTTTACTCGACATAACCCCCCCCCCCAAATCAACCCGACCGTGACCTCTGACCTCTGACCTCGCTCTCTCTCTCCTCAGGGCGCAGCAGCCCCAGCCTGGACCCTCTTAGGAAGAGCCCCACCCTGGACCAGGTGATCCAGACCGCCCCCTCCGCCCCGACAGCCGCCACCACGGCTCCAGCTCCTGGCCTGGGACGCAGGAGCCCCGCCCACAGTCGCACAGCCCCCTCTGCGGCGGGCGGCGCCGGGCAGAAGCATCAGGAGGGCGTGGACACGAGGAGGGGTGAGACTGTGAGGGGGGGCCGCAGCGGCCAGGGCTGGTCCGCACCCCGAACAGTCTCCGCCTCTCACATCAGCGCCGTAGAGAGGGCGTCAGCTGCAGGGCCCGCCCACTCTGTCTTTAGCCACACAGGTGAGACCGCGGGCCGAACGCCGCACACTGGAGGGGGGGTAGAGGGAGGGGCCTGTCCACGCCTCCTTGGCCTCTGATTGGCTGTGAAACGTCATCATCGGCTCTGAACCTCCTAACCCGACAGACGATGATGTTTCACGGCCATCAGGAATAACCAATCAGAGCTCAGCACTTCTAGCCAATCAGAGGCCAAGGAGGCGGGACCTTCCCCTACCATCCTCTGGGGTTCAGAACTGAGGTCCAAACGGACCTGGGGGGTCGGTTCTGTGTGTGTGTTAGCGTGTTGTTCCAGAGGGCGTGGTAAAAGAGAACCTCAGTGAAGGTGGGCGGAGCCTAACAGACGCAGTTTTCTCAGGTCTCCTCCCCTCCTGTACAAACTAAAGACTCTGATGTTCCAGGAGGAGACGCCCCCCCGAGAACCAGGAAACCAGAATCTGAGCAGGAGAGAGGAGAAGGAGGCGGGGACCACAGTAAACCTCCCTCAGGTTAAACTCCTCCTCCTTCCCTCCTCCTCTCCTCCTCCTCCTCTGCATGCCTGTTTCTCAGACAGAGGAGTCCACACTCTCATCCTTCACTCCTCCCCTCTCCTTCTCCTCCTCCTCTCCTCCTCCTCCTCCCTCTCCTCCTCCTCCTCCCTCTCCTCCTCCTCCTCCTCCTCTCCTCCCCCCTCCTCTCCTCCCCTCTCCTCTCCTCCCCTCTCCTCCTCCTCCTCCCTCTCCTCCTCCTCCTCCTCTCCTCCTCTCCTCCTCCTCCTCCTCCTCCCCTCTCCTCCTCCTCCTCCCTCTCCTCCTCCTCCTCCTCTCCTCCTCCTCCTCCCCTCTCCTCCTCCTCTCCTCCCCTCTCCTCCTCCTCCTCCTCCTCCTCTCCTCCTCCCCTCTCCTCCTCTCCTCCTCCTCCTCTCCTCCTTCTCCTCCTCCTCCTCTCCTCTCCTCTCCTCTCCTCCCCTCTCCTCCTCCTCCTCCCCTCTCCTCCCCCTCCTCCTCCCCTCTCCTCCTCTCCTCCTCCTCCTCTCCTCCTCCTCCCCTCTCCTCCTCCTCCTCCTCCTCTCCTCCTCCCCTCTCCTCCTCTCCTCCTCCTCCTCCTCCTCCCCTCTCCTCCTCCTCCTCCTCTCCTCCTCCTCCTCTCCTCCTCCCCTCTCCTCCACCTCTCCTCCTCCTCCTTCTCCTCCTCCTCTCCTCCTCCTCCTCTCCTCCTCCTCCTCTCCTCCTCCTCTCCTCCCTTCTCCTCTCCTCCTCCTCTCCTCCTCCTCCTCCCCTCTCCTCCTCTCCTCCTCCTCCTCCCCTCTCCTCCTCCTCCTCCTCCCCTCTCCTTCTCCTCCCCTCTCCTCCTCCTCTCCTCATTCTCTCCTCCTCCTCTCCTCCTCCTCCTCTCCTCCTTCTCTTTCTCCTCCTCCTCTCCTCCTCCTCCCCTCTACTCCTCCTCCTCCCCTCTCCTCCTCCTCACTCTCATCCTTCGTTGGCGTGTTGTTTTCAGATTGACATGCTCTTCATGTCAATGGCGTGGCGGCGGCGGAGACGATGGCTCCGCCCTGAGTGATTGACCACATGTCCTCCATGTTTGATTTCTGGCGCCCGGCTGCCGTGTGGCGTTCTTTTGCGGCTCTTCGTCTCTCATCCTGATCGAGTCGCCGTCGTCTTCTTCGTCTTCTTCTTCCATCGTCGTCGTGTTTTGGTTTCGACCTCATGTGTTGGTGTGACGTCTTTGTGCCGAGCGCCGCCGCCGCGGTTCTTCTCTCTGTCACAGCTGATGTTTCCTCCTGTCCTTCAGTGGCTCCAGGAGCGCCGGTCAACCGCCGTGGACGAGGGGGCGGACACCGCGGCAGGGGGCGCTTCAACGTCCGCAGAGACGGGCCCATGAAGTTCGAGAAGGACTTTGACTTTGAGAGCGCCAACGCCCAGTTCAACAAGGAGGAGATCGACCGCGAGTTTCAGAGCAAGCTGAAGCTCAAAGGTGAGAGGTCATCCCGCTCTCAGGTCCGAACGCCCGTGAGCGGGACAAAGTTCTGGTCGGCGCTCGAGACTGGATACTTTAGTTCTGATGAACATGGTGGGAAACCGACTCTGGACCCGGTTAGTTTTTACTGAAACACAAAAATTATTATGAGGTTATTTATTATTTTAAGAAAAAGGTCAAAATTAGAGTCATTTTCACACGTGTGTCGCCTCACTTGAGTCCCGGGTTCTCGCTTTAACGATCACGATATAAAAAACACGCTGGTGTTTATTTACAGACGGTCTTCAAAGGAGCAAAAATATTTACAAAAGTGCAAAAAAAGGTCAAATATTATTTAAAAAATGTACAAGACAAAAAAAAACCAAAAGGTCAGAGATCGACGATAACTGAGGAGAAAAAAACAGAAACAGCAGCGACAGAAAAAAAAGTTACTGATCCTAAACAAACTCCAGACTCAGAGAAAGACTCAGACGGCCATCTTTGACCTCCGACCCCTCCCAGTGGGCGTTACCAAGTAAACAAGTTTAAAAGAAAAAAAACATATTTATTTAAATTTAAACCTTTTTTAACAAAGTTTTTTACCTTCAGACCTTTTTCTAAGTTTTACTCCAGTTTTAATTTTTATGGATTCATGACAAACAAGGGAATTAATTTTCTTGCATCATGTGACCACTCTGACCCTCCGTACACGCCTATTTTACACCCGGAAATCACACGCTGTTTCCTTATTTGGAAACATGATCCAGTATGATGGCGGGAACGGACGCCCGGCGAGTAAGTGAAGGGATGAATAAGTGAACTGAGAGAGCTCCAGGTGTGTAACCATGGTAACCCTGTGATCCAACAGAGAAGGGAGAGTCGAGGTGATTATGAGAGGGTCATTAGAGACGCTGGGGAGAGGGGGGAGACGCCGCCGCTCCGTCAGCGAGGACACCGCCGCTCCGTCAGCGAGGACGCCGCCGCTCCGTCACACCAGCTAAAGTTTAAAATGGCGGTCATATTTCTAAAGTTAAAATAATATTTTCCACATTCATTGACAAAAACGCCTGAAGGGGCGGAGTTAGGACGACCGTTTTAAGAGGGGGGAGGAGTTTGACCTTTTCATTTCAGGGGGGACGCCACCCCCCCATCGTCCCCCCTCATCTTGAGTCTGTATGTGAGGGTCACAGGGGTCCCCTTAGTGGTCCTGCTCCCTGCTCCTCCTTTCTGTCCCCTCACTGTGTCGTCGTCTCGCCGCTCAGACGAGAAGACGGAGAAAACGGAGAAGACGGAGAAAGCGGTGAACGGCGAGGACAAGGGCGACTCCGGCGTGGAAACTCAGAACAGCGAGGGAAACGCTGACGCTGAGGAGTGTGACCCCCTGGGACCCAACTGCTACTACGACAAGTCCAAGTCGTTCTTCGACAACATCTCCTGTGACGACACCAGGTCAGCGTCTGAGAGGGTGGGCGGGGCTTATCTCTGACCGTCAGTGTCTGAACATAAACCTGATTCTGGTTTCTCTGCAGGAAAGCCAATGAGAAGTCTGGAGGCTCCGGGTTCCCCAGGTGAGACTCTGTCACATGACCTTGTTAAAGTAAACACTGACACCGTCACTGTGGGTGTGGTCTCCATGACGGAGGTTTTCTGACTCCACCTCCTGCAGGGAGCGGAGGCAGACCTGGGCCGAGGAGAGGAGGATGAACGCGGAGACCTTCGGCATCCCTCTCCGTCAGGGTAGAGGCCGTGGCGGTTACCGTGGTCGTGGCGGGATGGGCTTCCGTGGGGGTCGGGGTCGCTCGGCCAGCCGAGGATCGTTCGGGCCGCCACAAGGGGGCGGCGGCTTCAGAGGAGGGTACAGAGGAAATCAGGCCGGCCGCGAGTTCGCCGACTTATCAGCATACAGGGTAACAGAGGCGTCATCAGTGAGTAACCTTTGACCTCCGTTACTGTTATTATTGATGTAAATATTATTATCATTATATTTATTATTATTATTATTTAAACTATTTTAATTATTGTCAGAATTATGATTTTAACTATTTTTATTGATGTCAATATGATTATCATTATATTTATTATTATTATTATTATTTAAACTATTTCAATTATTGTTAGAATTATGATTTCAACTATTATTATTGTTGTTATTAATATTATCTCCACTAAAAAAAATATTGTTATAAAAATTATTTCAACTCTTATTATTGTTATAAACATTATTTTAACTTTAATTATAATTATTGTTATCAGTATTACTATAACTATTATTATAAGTGTTTTTAAATATTATTATTATTAGAAATATTATTTTTTACTATTATTATTGTTAAAATGACTATTTTTCATTCTTATTATTATTGTTATAAATATAATTTTAAATAGTATCATTATTATTATTATTGTTGTAAATGTCATGATTTTTATTGTTATAAATGTTATTGTTATTATATTTTCTATTATCATTATTTAAACTATAATAATATCGTTAGAATTATGATTTTAACTATTATTATTGTTGTTTTAAATAGTATGTTATCTATTAGTATTATTATTATAAACGCTATTTTAACTTTAATTTGAATTATTTTTATGAAATTTTTTTAATTTGTATTATAATAATTGTTATAAATATTTTATCTATTATTATTTTTGTTATAAACATTATTTTGACTATTATTATTATTGTAATTGTTATGCATATTATTATAACTATTATTATTATTATTGTTCTAAATATTAGTATCACTATTATTGTTATTAATATTATTTTTTACTATTTTAACAGTTCTGATGATTATTATTATTCTAATTATGACATCACTATCCGGATATATTATTATTATTATTATCTGACTGTTTTTGTATCACAGTTGTCTGACTGTTGTCTGACTGTTGTCTGACTGTTGTCTGACTGTTCTCCTCTGTTTGTGTGTTTTCCTCCTTTCCTCCAGAAGGACAACAAAGTGGCGGCGTAGTCTGAGAGTGAGGAGGAGTCTGCCCACGGCGGTGGATCCTCTTCTTCTCCTCCTTCTTCTTCTTCTTCTTCTTCTTCAGGCTGGGATGGAAACAGACCGTCGGTCGGGCTCTTCCTCTTCTTCTTCTTTTGTTTTGTTGACTCAGATCGTGAAGATCTTCTTCTTCTTCTTCTCGTTGTAAATTTGTCACCAGCACTGGGGTCGACTGCTGGAACACAGCCATGGAAACAGCAGCAGCAGTGAGACGGACGCCGTTTATCAGAGAACAGTCCAAACACGCCTCCAGATCAGCTGACGGCGGCTGACCATAAAAAACTAATGATGATGATGATAATAATGATGTGTTAGAGTCGTACTTCAGAGCGATGTCTGTGTTCTGGACCCTTCATCTCTGCTGAGGGTGGAGGTTAGAGTCACTCACTGAGCTTTAGTACTTCATCCTCAGTCCACCGAGTCTGAGCCACACCTTTGGAACCCGTGTTTTTTTTCTACTCCATCATAGACCCTCATCCTGCTTCCTGTCAGCTCCTCCACTCTCCTCCTCCTCCTCCTCCTCAGATCTCAGCTGTGATGTAGGAGCAGCTGCTGGATGTTGTAGTTTTTACTCCCTCTGGTGAAAATAAACCAGTTCAAGTGAGAAAGAGAGAAAAGACAAATGTAGAGGATAAAGAGTCACAGCGATGAGAGAGACGGTCCTGATTCTCGGTTTAGAGTCGGAACTGAGAGACATGGAGTCCAGGTCGGGGTTCGAGACGGTTCCTCATGATTATCAGAGGAGGACGAGGTCGTCAGAGATCTGGATTTCATGTTTGGATTTCTCATCATTCAAACTTATTTCACACTTGAATTATGAATCTGACTTTGTTCCATCGATTCTGTCGGTTTATTCTGAATCTGAATCTGTGAGGAAAAGTCAGAAACGAGTCGGAGAATCATCCTGATGAGAGAAAACGTCTCCTTTATAAAATCGTTAAAATAACCCCGAGACCATCTGTGAATGAATTATGAACTTGTTTCTCAAACTTTGTTTCAGTGCTCGATGCAGTCCTGTCCCTCGTACCTCGAGCCCTCACCGCCTCATTCACTCATTCACTCAAACCAACCAGGGCTCAGAGTTCAGGCTGGAGATTCAGATCTAATCCAGGTCTCCATAATCTGGAGTCTGAACTCACGGAGGTCAACAGTGTCGTTCCACAGTCAGGTTACGGCAGGGCGCCCTCTGCTGGATTAAACAGTAAACGTCTGTATTTAGAAGAATTCGCAGGTTTCCCTCAAAGTTCGGACAAAAACTCGAGTTTCCGAGTCAGAGTGACGATTTCTTTATCCTCTAAATTTGGAAGAAAAAAAAAAAAACACCGAAAGAAGTAAAAAGAGTTTTTTTTTTTCTCTGAGTCTGCAGCTGTTCGCACTTTTTACTCCACAGACACTAAAGTCACTCATTCACTCACTTATTCACTCATTCACTCATTCATTCACTCACTCACTCATTCATTCACTCACTCACTCACTCACCTGTTCAGTGTGTGTTCATCTGTTCATCGACTCTCAAACAGCTTCTTCTTTACCGTTTTAAACACCGATCTCATTTATTCACCTGTTAGTAACTCTAATGCTGCTGCAGCTACAGGAAGTGATGTCACTGAGAACTACAAAATAAAAGCACGGAGAAAGGCGCCAGCTGAGCGCGTGTAGCACCGAGGTTTTCAGCAATATTCACTTTATTTTGGAGGTGATGGAGGAAGAGATCAGCTGATCTCCGATTTATCGTCATTGACTCGTCTGTCAGAGGAAATGAACGAGTGAAGATGAGAGGATGATGTTTGAGTTCACCCATGATGGTTAAAGAGGTTTCAGAGGTTCGAAGTCCGGTTCTGCAGATCCGGACTGGTTCTGTAGATCCGGCTCAGTCTGGTTCTGTAGATCCAGTCTGGTTCCGTAGATCCGGCTCAGTCCGGTTCTTTGGATCCAGTCCGGTTCTTTAGGTCCGGCTCAGTCTGGTTCTGTAGATCCAGTCCGGTTCTGTAGATCCGGCTCAGTCCGGTTCTGTAGATCCAGTCCGGTTCTGTAGATCCGGCTCAGTCCGGTTCTTTGGATCCAGTCCGGTTCTGTAGATCAAGTCCGGTTCTGTAGATCCGGCTCAGTCCAGTTCTTTGGATCCAGTCTGGTTCTGTAGATCCGGCTCAGTCTGGTTCTGTAGATCCAGTCCGGTTCTTTAGATCTGGCTCAGTCCGGTTCTGTAGATCCAGTCCGGTTCTTTGGTTGGACTCGCAGCACTTTAGTTTCCTGGTAAAAGGTTGAAGGTTTGTGGATCAGGTCTGGTTCTGGACAGGGTTGTTAGATCTCCAGAGTGAACCGGTCTGTGGTTCTGATGTTTCTCCTGAGCTCAGTTCTGGTCCACACTCAGGGGGGCGGAGCCTCTTGTGTCTGTTCTCTCTCACTGCTGTTATTAAAGTGCACAGATTTCAGAATTAAACCCGGTTCTGTTTCCTCTCTCTGAAGGACTTTGATGTTTCTTTACATCCTGAACATAAAGGTTTGAACCTGGGACCGTTTTTGGACACGGTGAGAAGAACCGGACCTCATTATTTAGGAGATCCTGGTTTGACGACCCATCAGTCGGTTCTCGACTAAGTCCAGTTGTCCTTTTCATGAGCAGATTTCCTCTCCAGAGTCATGTGACTAACCTGTTGGACAACGTTGGTTTGAAATCATCTGAAAACCATAAAAATCTGTTTTATTTCCGATCATTTTAACCCTTCAGTGTCTTTTAAACTTCGTCCCTCAGAGTTCAGAGTTCTCTCAGCTGAGTGAAACACGTGAAAATCAAGTTTAAAAAATGGTTAAAGGAGTTAAAATGACAAAAACTGAAGAAGAATAAAAGTGATGAATAAACTTAAAGAAAAAACTTAAGTCAGTTAAAGTTACAAGAATCAATAACCACAGGTTTATTTTCTCACTGGACGTGTGAAACTCAGAGGTTTTTTTTTAGGGCTCTTTAAAAAAAACAAAAACTCTTCTGTGAGGAAAGAGGAAAGGATGGTGAGGAAAGGATGGTTGTCTCTCCTGCTTCCTCATTTTACAAGCGTGTGTTGAGTCAGAGCCTTTCAACACCATGACAGCTCCTGTCACGCTAAAACGGCTGTTTTTGTCTATGGGGTTTGGTGCTTCTACAGACGGTCTGTTTGTCAGAGATCTTTCTTCCTTCATACTTGTTCTGGTTTCTCTGAAGCAGGCGGACCGCTGGACTCCACAGGCTCCTCTGAGGAGAACCGCTGGGAGTTGTGGAGAGTTTGTGGACCCTCTGTTGGGAGTTTTTCATGAGCCCTGATATTAAAAGTGAGGCCTTCAGCTCCTGGTTATGATGATAATACTGTAGTGTAGTTCTGTGTTAGGGTCCACACTCTCAGACATGAGCAGCGGTTCTGTCGTCACTTCCTCTTTACGTAAAGAGTCTGACATCGTTGGCACTAATAATGATAATAGTGATCAATTTTATAATGATTATTATGTTAAAAATGATCATAATTATAATACTAATGTCAAAAATGATCATAATGATTATGTGAATTATGATAATGATGTTTATACTGATAATGATAGTAATGATAAAATTATGATAATAATGACAATGTTTATAATTTTAATAATAATGATAATGTTAATGTTTATACTGATAATGATAGTATTGATGAAAAAATTATAATAAAGTTAATAATGATAACGATGACGAAGTTAATATCAATAATAATGCTGATTATGATCATGTTTATAATTTTAATAATAATGTCAATAATACTAATGTCAAAAATGATCATTGATAATTATGACAGTGATGATAATCATGATAATGTTTTTAATTTTAATAATGAAAATGATAAAGTTAATGATAATATTGTTAATAACACTGTAGTGTAGTTCTGTTTTGTTGTCCTCTCTCCTCTCTCTCTCTCTCTCTCTCCCTCTCTCTCTCTCCCTCTCTCTCTCCCTCTCTCTCTCTCTCTCTCTCTCTCTCCCTCTCTCTCTCTCTCTCTCTCTCTCTCTCTCTCTCTCTCTCTCTCTCTCTCTCTCTCTCTCTCTCTCTCTCTCTCTCTCTCTCTCTCTCTCTCTCTCTCTCGGACCCGGGCTGTGGTTCTGTCATCTCTTCACATAAAGAGTCTGACCTGTTGGCACTAATCTGCCTCCGTACATCAGACCGTCTCTGTACATGTGAGAACAGTGGGCGGGGTTTGATCCTGAGGGGCGGAGTCTGCTCTCATTGGTTCTTCTGGGTGTGACCACCTCCGCCCCCCCCTGTCAGCTGTGGATCAGCACCATCCGGCCTCCTCATCCTCCGGAGCTCCGCACAGGGACCACACCAGACCAGACGAGTGCAGCAGCAGAACCTCGGGGACCAGAACCAGAACCAGAACCAGAACCTCGATCATGGCGCTGAGCACCGACCCCAACTACCGGAAACTGGAGCAGTGGTACCGGGACAACGCGGGCAATCTCACCATGAGGAGCATGTTCGAGTCCGACCCGGACCGATTCAGCAAGTTCAGGTACGAGCACATACACACACACATACACATACACATACACACACACACACACACACACACACAGCGCGTGTACGTGACGGTGAGGAGGAGGAGGAGGGTGTGATCCGGGAGCCCTTCTCTGGACCCCGGTTCGGTTCGGTTCACGGACTCGAACCTTTAACACCGACAAACACGCGGAAACACACACGCGGAAACACACGCCCACGCGCACCTATAGCGCACTCAACGACTGCGTGAGCCACAAGGTCACGGTTTGAGTTCCGCTCCTTCCTGGTCCATTTCCTGGTCTCAGACGGTCCCAGGTGTGAGGTCCGGACCTGTCCTACCCCAACTACCTCCCCCCGGTCTCACTGTGGGTCTCTGAGTCCTCACTGATCCGGATTCAGGCCTCTCAGATGGTCCCGATCCGGAGGAGCGGCTACTGTTAGCTGAAGTGCTAAAGTCTGTGCGCCCATTATCGGACAGCCGTGTGCCCATTATCGGACAGACAGTTTTTCACTGTAAAGAAGAAAAATGTCAAAATGAAAGCCCGCGAAAATCTGTGTGTGTGTGTGTGTGTGTGTGTGTGTGTGTGTGTGTGTGTGTGTGTGTGTGTGTGTGTGTGTGTGTGTGTGTGTGTGTGTGTGTGTGTTCGTTCGTTACTGTGATTTTCCTGCTAACTTCAGACTCGGCTGTTCTCGGTCCGTTTCTCTTGTATGTTTCTCGGTTTATTTCTATATTTCTTGTTTTTCTCTCATAATGAATCATTTTCAGGATCCTGCTAACTGAAGTGAAGTCTCGGTGAAAGTCAAACCTGTTGAACTCTGTCGTTTTTCTGACGTTACCTCCATGATTGTACAGCCCACCTGTTAGCTGGCTCTGTCCGATAATGGGCTCACAATGGGCTCACCGCGTTTGACCGTTTAAACATCCGCAGGGCGTCGAAGTGAAATCGATTTAATAGACTTTGAATGTTTAATCGGTTCGAGGGTGATAGTGATGTGATGATGAGGAGTCAGTGATGAAGATGGGTCTGTCTGTCTGTCTGTCTGTCTGCGGCAGGAGGAGGGGGGGGGGGGGGGGGGGTACGTGCGCTGCAGCACATCCTCCTGTAGGTCTCTCCTCCTCTCCTTCCTCCTCCTCCTCCTCCTCTCATGATGAAGATAAACCTCCCTCCTTCAGACCCCGGGGCTCTCACAGACTCAGAGGGGTTGTTTCGGGGTTCCTGCAGGTCTTCATGAAGTCCTGGTCCAGTTCCTCTGCAGTCTGAGTGAAAGTACTGAGTGTTCCCGGTCCACAGGTTCTTCAGTAATCCTCCTGAATCCATTATCTCGGTCAGCCACACCCTCTGATCCACGAGAGAGGAGAACCTGGACCAGGTCCAGACCTCTGAGAGTATTTCACAGTTCTTAAAATTCTGTTTAAAAAAAAAAAGACAGACTAATCGATAAATCTAAAAAAGATCAATAAGTGAGTTATCAGCTCTCAAAGATCTGAAGTCTGTGTGTCCTGACAGAGAGGGGAGGAGGTCTCTGTCTTTAAGAAGACCACCTGGACTTTACTCAACAGTCATGGTCCAGAAACACCGGACTTCAGCTCCAGAGTTTAATCAGCAGAGAGAATCAAACCTCATCAGGATTATTATGGAGCGGACATGGACTTCAGCAACAACAACGACAACAACAACAACAATAATAATAATAATAATAATAATAATAATAATAATAATAACAATAATAATAATTAAAATAACAGCAACAACAACAACAACAATAATTAAAATAACGACAACAATAATAATAATAATAATAATAATTAAAACAACAACAACAATAAAAATAAGAATAATAATAACAATAACAATAATTAAAATAACAGCAACAACAACAACAACAATAACAACAATACTAAAAAAATATATACAAATAATAATAATAATAATAATAATTAAACAACAACAATAATAATAATAAAATAATAATTAAATAACAACAATAATAATAATAATAAAATAATCACAACAATAATAATAATAAAAAATAATAATAATAATAATTAAACAACAACAATAATAATAATAAAAAATAATAATAATAATAATTAAACAACAACAATAATAATAATAAAATAATAATTAAATAACAATAATAATAATAATAATAATAATAACGACAACAATAATAATAATAGTTCTAATAAATAAATAAAAATATATATAAATAATAATAACAAGGACAATTACAACAACAAAAAACAACAATAATAACTATTTCACTGATAATCATGATAATTATGATTATTGTAATTATTATTATTATTGTTATTATTATTATTGTTATTGTTATTATAATAACTGTATTTATGTCCCTCCTTGAACATGACTATCATCTGTCTTAAAGGCTCCATAGGAGAGTTTATGTGTGTTAGTCCAGACCAGTCACAGAACCTTATTCTCAGATCGTGACTTATCTGAGTCAGAACCAGGTCAGTGAGGATAGAGAGCTGCCACAGTGACCACAGGGGGGCGCCAAAACTAGCACTGAGCTCCTGACAGGGAAAAGAGTGGATGGAGGTCCGGTTTGTGTGTCCCAGTATATGAGAGCAGAACTGTAGAACTGTAAGTGAACCGGGCGGTACCAGAGCATGAAACCCGAGTTTATATCAGTCTGAACGTTTGAACCCGACCCGCTTTATTGGCCCAGTCTGAGTAAACTCTGATTTCACAGCTCTGTGTTCACTCTGCTCTGATAAGAGAATAAAGGCTGATAACAGGGGGGGGTGGAGCCGGGTTCAAGCTGAACTCTGACAGAAGCACAAGGCAGACGGGTCACATGACCCGCTGTAAACTCACTGCTAAAGTCTGAGTCCAGAACCAGAACCTCTGGGTTTTAAAGCTCCTCTCTGTGATTTTAGCACCACTCTGCAGACCGACGATGGAGACATCCTGCTGGACTACTCCAAGAACCTCATCAACCAGGAAGTGATGTCCATGCTGCTCGCCATGGTAACACACACACACACACACACACACACTTCCTGTGGCTGTCATCTCTAATCAGCTCTGAGCCTCACTAAGATCACAGTCAGGTTTCCTGAGCTCCACGTGGTCCGCCAACGACCACCTGACCATCAGATCCTGATCAGCTGATCAGCTGTGACACGTAAACAGGCTGCAGGTGTAGACAGGTGTAGACTGATGGACTTTGGTGTACCTGGGTCTACAGGTGAGCTCTTACCCGGGATTTTCACCACATCTGAACCAGCTGTGATTTCTGCTGTACGCCAATTCCTACAGGATCTGTTTGTGAGGCGAATTTCTCGGCGGATTACGGACACAGAGAATCACAAGAACTCACAAGAACCTGCAGATTCACGTTCAATCTCACGATAACGAGTTGTCTGTATAAAGACAGACACATAGACATATAAGCAGTAGATTGTGTCCTTCCAGAGGAGGAAATCTACTTCTAGACTTCTAGAATCAGCATCTCCTCATCCATGGTGTCATCGGGGTGAAATGACGTCTAAAAACCTTTCACTTGTTCGTCTCCGCCCGTTTGCATGGTGTGAAATACGATCCTCCTGAAACACGGAGTGTTTTATTTTGAAAAGAAGTCGGTGTAAATTGACACGTTAACTTGAATGGTTACGATCAGCTACGATCGGAGGATACGACCTTTTAGGAGACCATCAGGATGGAAATCTTGGGTTAGCTGTTCTAGAGTCACTAAGATGGTCCAGCTCTGATACCAGAGTCCAGACTGATGGATCCGGGTCACCACCATCATCTTCATGGTCTCACTGAAGGTCCAGATTGACCCTGATGGACTCAGTAAATCCAGTTAAAGTCTCCAGATGGAGACAGTAATCCTGTAACAGTCAGTGACTCAGCACTTTTTAAAACTGCTGAGTCATTCAGAGGACAAGAGTCCTCCTGGTCCAGTTAGACCAGAGCAGGTCAAGACCAGA